CTGTTGCAAAAAGAAGTTTCTTTGATGAGTATGTACTTGTCTGTAAATATAAGGATCCGTATTTAGCATATGGTAAAAAAATTCATTTGTCTAGAGATATGATAGAGATAGGGTTTTCTCTAGGATCGATGACCTCTCCAGTTATGTCTATTTGGCTATAATTACAGTGTTACCTATGAGTTCACTCCCATGGAGAGGGCTTTAAGTTCAATTAGATAGCTGTTAGTTACCCCCCCAGATAACAGTACCCCTACTGCACCAATAGAGGTAGTTTTCTCTGCCAGTCGTTATGTTTATTCAGCTTTAGGGCTGGATTAGACCACTGATTAATTTTCTCTCTTAGCAGTTTGTATAGTACCTTCTAGAACTATGAGAGCTAGTCTTCAGGGAGAAGGCTCCTAGGTCAGTTCTGCCCCATTGCTCCAAGTTCTGTGTCCTGTCTTCAGCAGTAGGGTCTTACCTTCGAGTTCTGGGAGATATCCAAGGGCTCCGGCAGTAGCCTGTGTTATTTTGGGAGTCTCTTGGACTACTCTGACCTCCTCTCCTGAGTTCCCTCTTCCCCCATCCCCTGGTCCCCTGCATATCCCTTCCCCCTGTCTTCCCAGCTGGACACCCACACTGTCCCTACCTCCCCCTGGTAACATCTGTTCCCTACTCTTCCCCCTCTTTGCCTCTGTGTTTCCTTTCCATTTTCCTGGCTCCTGCTGTTACATCAGGATATACACTCACATATTACGATTGGTGCTACAATCTGCAAATGAGTTTGTGTTACTTCGCTTAGTATAACAGTCTCTAGTTCCATCCATTTACCTGCAAATTTCATAATTTCATCTGTTCTTACTGCTGAGTAGAACTCCATTGTGTAAATGTACCATATTTTCATTATCCATTCAAAAAGCACTTTTTATTTTAACCACTGCAGAGAGGTGAGGAGATATAGCATGGGAACTGCTTTTTCAATTATGAACTTATACTCAGATTTTTGTAGTGTTGGAGAGCTTTAGGTAGAAAAATAATTTATAAAATCAATCAAGTTGGGGATGGGAATGGGGATATAGCTCAGTTGGCAGAGTGCTTACGTAGTGTTCTAGTTTGTTTCTCCATTGCTGTGACAAAACACTCCAACCACTACCAACTTGGGGAAGAAAGGGTTTATTCAGCTTACATCTTCTGGGTCACAGTTCATCAGGGAGCCAAAGGTAGAAACTTTAGGGTAGGAACCTGGAGGCAGGAGCTGGAGCACAGGCCATGGAGGATCTCTGCTTACCGACTTGCTCCTCTGGCCCCTGCTCAGCCTGCTTTCTTATGCAACACAGGCCCACCTGCCCAGGGGTGGCACCACCCACAGTGGGCTGGGCCCTCCCACATCACTCATGAAGAAGATGCCCTTCAGACATGGCCATAGGCCAGTCCAATAGAGGAAATTCCCCGACTGAGGCTCCCTCAACCCAGGTGTGTCAAGTTGACACTAAAGCTATCCAGCACACCTAGCATACATGAAGCCCTGGGTTTGACCCACATAAAAACTAGGATCGTTTTGAGCTATCATGTTGGTGCTGAGAACTGAATTCCAGTCCTCTGCAAGAGCAGCCATTGCTCTCAACTGCTGAGCCATCTCTTCAGCCCTGACCTAGACTTCTTGCTATTCCTCCTAGCTCCACCTCCTGAGAGCTGGGACTGTAAGTACGTGTTACCATGCCTGCTTTTCAGTTGGCTTTCTGTTACATATTCTTCTCTTTAAAAAAAAAAAAAATTATTGTGTGTGTGTATGCACTCACATGCCACAGTGCATGTGTGGAGGTCAGAAGACAGCTTTGTAGAGTCCCACTATGTGGGTCCTGGGGATCAAACTCAGGTTGTCAGGCTTGTTTGGCAGCTGGTTTACTCCTCTCTCTTTTTTTTTTAATTAAAAAAAATTAAATGTAAAAATCATTTTTAGTTGATAGGCTTTCAGAAGTAGACTGAGGATAGATTGTGGTGGTTTGTCCAGGCCTTAGGTGGTTACTGGACTGACAAAGTACATCATCTGAATATATGTTCAGTATCTTTAGGTTCACTTACTGTATAATATTTATGCTAAAAATCAACTCCCTTCTTACATCATAATTCAGATTTTGATTTCTTGTATTTTTACTCAATTATGGAATTGGTTATATAAAATTTTTTCTTATAGAATATATCTGTGCATTTATTGATGGGCAACCTTCAGTGTGAAACTTTGCTAGTTGGATGTCTTGAGAGTGTTATAGTATGGCAGTGTGATGCCACACTGTGGCAATGCCTGAACAAAACAGCCTGGCTCTTACCATCCATTAAAGCCAAGAGTGGAGCCAACCTCTTCTGAGAACTTGTTCCTTCAGATCTTCCCTGGAACTGTGCTCTCTCCAATAGAGGTCTTGCACTTTCTTTATTGAAACTGAATATCCAGTATTAAATTTGGAAGGAAAAGCAGAACCTTATCAGGGATTTTCCCTTTCTGATCCTTACTTCACTATAACAGCACACACAGCCACAAACATGTTATCAGTCAAATCCCACCTGTTGTTTGCAACACAAATGGCATAAGCCCTTGCTTTCAAGGAAGAGTTGTTGCTTAGAGCACTTGATATTCTCACAACACACACACACACACACACACACACACACACATATTATTCTGGGTCAAGGGCAAGAAACTAAAAACTTTAGGTTACAAGAGGTGCCCAAGGCATAGTAAGCTTGTTTACATTATAAACAAACTGATAATGTTAAATGTTCTCAAAGCATTATGCTGTTTGTTTAGAAATTTAGGTAAAAGTTTTATTCCCACATCCTACTGCATATAATGGAAGCATGTGGTTATGGTTTGAGCTTTTGAAAATGGAGTGATTATGTTGTTGACACTTGATGTTTCACCTTGTAATTGTTTTAAAAATTGCTATTCTGTGCCTTCACTATTTTCTTCTGTCCCCTCCCTGCCCTTCCCTTTCCCCTCCCCTCCCCTCCCCTTCCCTTCCTTCCCTTCTTTCCTTTCTTTCCCTCATTTCCCTTCCACTTTCTCTTCTTTCTTTCCTTTCTTTTCTGAGATAGGATCTTTTTGTATTCCTGATTGGCCTGGAACTCCCTCTCTGACTCAGGCTGACCTTGAACTTGCAACAGTCCACATGAGTGTAGGGATTACAGGCACACACCACCATGCTTTAGCTTTATGTCTCCTTTCTGATGCTGATTCCATAGACCTTACAAGACTTAATGATGTCTTAATGATTCTTCTCTCTCTTTTTTTTTGTATGTATGGTATATTTCTCTCTCTCTCTCTCTCTCTCTCTCTCTCTCTCTCTCTCTCTTGGAGGCTAAAGGTTGACTTCTAGTGTCTTCCCCTGTCAACCTTTGCATTATTTACATTATCTGTGTGTGTGTAGTTGTGGAGGCTAAAGGTTGACTTCTAGTGTCTTCCCCTGTCAACCTTTGCATTATTTACATTATTTATTTATTTAGTTAGTTTTTTTTGTTTTGTTTTTTTGAAAAAGGCTCTCTCTGTTGCACGGCTGACCTGGAACTGTCTGTGTAGACCACCTGGCCTGGATCTCACAGAGGCCCACCTGCCTTTGCCTCCCTAGTGCTGGGACTAAAGGCATGAACCACCCTGTTAGGCTTTTCTTCACTTTATTTTTTCTTTATTTTTTAAAAATCCTTTAAAAATCCCTTATTTTTAATTATATGTATGCCTGTGATTGGGTTTGTGCATGTGAGTGCAGGTGCCTTTAGCAGCCAGAAGAGGATGTCAGATCCCTTGGAGCTGGAGTTACAGGCAGTTGTGAGCTGCTGGTTGTGGGTGCTGAAAATTGAACTCAGGTCCTCTACAAGAACAGCAAACATTCTTAATTGTTGAGCTATCTTTCCAGCCCTCTTTTCATCTTATTTTTTGAGACTAGTCCTCTCAGTGAACCGAGAGGTTACCTCTTGGCTTGACTGGCTGCCCAGAGCCCCTGAGATCCACTTGTATCCACTCCCTTCTCCCCAGCACTAGTACAGGTGTGCACTACCATGCTCAGCTTTTACTTGGGTGCTGGGAACCTGAACTCAGATCCTCAGGCTTGCCCAGCAGGCACTCTACGTACTCCCACACCAACTGCTTCCCCATCCCCTCAACCTTTCTTCTTTAAATCGAATAGCTCTCATCAACTTATGTTCTTTAAATGAATCTGAAAAAATTTGTATTCACTTTAATAATCATAGTTATTTTTAATTTTATCAGAAAATCAAATTTCCTCATTATTAAGATTTATAACAGACTATTCTATATATTAGACATTACATTTAAAGAAATAGCCTGAAGATTTTTGAATGGTGAACCTATCTTTGAAATAATGTTAGTGCATATGAGGATGATTATATTGAAATAAACTACATACATAATTTCTGCATGTCAATGATAGAAACTACTTGGAAATAAACTATTAAAGTATTCAAGGAGTGTTGGGAAGATCTGTTTATGCAGCAACAATTAATTTCCTTTTTTATGCATCCATTAGAATTTGAGTTTTTTGGCTGGGTGCAGTGGTTCACGCCTTTAATTCCCACACTCTGGAGGCAGAGGCAGGTGGCTGTGAGTTTGAGACCATCTTGCTCTGTATAGCAAGTTCTGGGCTAGTCAGGGCTACATAGTGAGACCCTATCCCAAAAAAGAATGTGAGCTTCTGGAGGGCAGGGCTTTTATTGTTTTGTTCAGTGCTATATCCACAGTGTGAGTACCATTTCTGGCACAGAGGACATGTTCAGTAACAGAAATGGATGCATAATTCTTTTTTACTAGTGATATAATTTTCTTTAAATTATACTGTGTGTTAACTCATAACTATGTAAGCCTGAGCCAAAGGCTGTTACTTTGAAAATTTTCTGTAAATAAAATCTGACTAAAATTTATCTTCCAGTTAGTTTCTTTTATTGTAAGCTCTACATACATTTGTTCTTGTATTGTATTTTAATATGCTTGTCATTTTTATGTTTTCTTTCTTTAGCTATTCTGTTCGAATGTGTGCACACAATCTATTCTATTTATCCTAAATCAGAATTACTTGAGAAAGCTGTAAAGTGCATTGGAAAATTTGTTTTGTCGCCTAAAATAAACCTTAAATATTTAGGTAAGGTAATTGGCTGTTATGATGGAAATTACAGAGAGAGCTTTTAAAATTGGCTGGGTGCTTATTTCAAGTCATTTCACATGATGTAATTTTTGTTTCTAGGACTGAAGGCTCTTACCTATGTTATCCAACAGGACCCTTCTCTGGCTCTTCAACACCAGATAACGATAATTGAATGTTTAGACCATCCTGATCCCATTATTAAAAGAGAGGTAAAGTAGGGCTGGAGCGATGGCTCACAGTTAAGAGCACTTGCTATTCTTGCAGAGGACCCGAGTTCAGTTCCCAGCACATACACTGGGTGACACAACTGCCTAGAACTCCAACACCTGGGATTCCAACACCCTCTTTTGGTCTTTTTAGGCACCCTCACACAAAAACAAACACACATAAATAAAACTAAAAGCTATAAATAAAAAGGAAAGTGATAACTTGATTAGTATATTTAAAGTGGTAAAAATTTTAAAATTTCATTGGTGTCTGGAGAGAAATTTAAATGACAGTGTGTGTTTACATATATGCTTTAACTTTTGTATTTAATTCTTCATATTAAAGTTCAAATATCTTCTTAAAAATTTGTTTTATTTTTTGATAGCTTTGCATATGTATATAATGAATTTTGTCATTTTCACTGCCTGCTCCTCTCTCACCCCCTCCTTCCTCTGCTGAGACCCTTCTTCCCAAGTCCTCCTGCTTCATGCCTTTTGTGTGTATGACCCACACAGTTTAGTTGGGGTTGCTGGCATGATTCGTTTATAGTGGCTATACCACTGAGGAAAGTGGCAACCCTTCCTCAGTCATTGTTAACTGTCAGTAGTCACTCAGAGGGTGAAGTTCCTTTTCTGAAAAAGTACCGTCAGGGTCTAGAGAGGCTGCTCGGTGGTTAAGAGCACTGCTGCTCTTGCAGGGGACCTGGGTTTGGTTTCCAGCACCCACATGGCAGTTAACAACCATAAGTAACTCCAGTTCCAGGGGATCTAACACCCTCTTTGGAACCAAGTTCAATTCACATAATAGTTTTCATATTGCTAACCTGTTTCTGATATCACTTGTCTATTTCTTACCACTGTTATCACTCTGATTTAGAAATAAGAGTTGAAGAGAAAGTAGATGTGTTTAAAACTGCCAATTCTAGAGCTGAAGAGATGGCTCAGTGGTTAAGAACCCTAGGTGCTCTTGCAGAAGACTCAGGTTTAAATCCCAGCACCCACATGGCAGCTAACAACTGTCCAGAACTCGAGTTCCATGGGGATTCAATGGCCTCTTCTGCCTTCTGCAGGCATTGCATGACCTGGATGCACTTACATGCATGCAGAGAATATACTCATACACATAAAATAAAAATACTAAATCAAAATAAAATTGCCAATTCTGGTCTGTTTGAGGAAAATAGTTTGAATTTAGGCGGAAGGTGCTGTGGTACTGTCTCTTCAGTGCCATTGCTATTTTTAACCTCGGTTAACAATGAGAACTTTAAAGTGTTGCTTGAGGTGGGATTCTCTGTTTTATGGCTTTATAATTCCTAATACACTATCCCATTCAGTTCTCAAAATGCCAGATTCAGAGTCTTGGAATAAGAAATAAATTGAATGCAGATTATCTAAAATTATGTAATATGCAGTTTGGAGTTCACAAATAGCATGTTTGCAATAGCTCCATAAATTCAGAACTATTGATGGGAAAGACCTGTTTGTTTGTTTTTGTCTGAGACTGGGTTTCCCTATAGCCCCAGCTGGCCTGAGCTCACTATATGTAGGCCAGGCTCACCTCCCTTACTCGTGCTGGGATCAAAATGCATGTACCACCACACCTTTTAAATTAACCATTAACTAAAGCACTTTATATTAAAAATGTTTTGAATTCATTTGAGAAATAGATCAGATGGACTTTTTTCTTTTTTTGAAAAAGCATTTCATGTAACCCAGGTTGGCCTTGAGCTTTCTATGTAGCTGAAGCTAGTTTTGAACACCCAATCCTCCTGCTTCTACTTCCTCAGTGCTGGGATTACAAGAGTGTTCCACCATACCTGGCTTTAGGTTGGCAATTCTTTTTTTTTTCAATGTGTATGAGTGTTATGCCTGCATGTAGGTAAGTGCACCCATGTCATGCAATGCCCGTGGAGGACAGAAGAGGCTGTCAGATCCCCTGGAACTGGAGTTACAGACAGTTGTTAGCTGCCATGTGGGTGTTGGGATTCGAACCTGGGTCTTCCACAAGAACAGTCAGTGTTCTTAACCACTAAGCCATTTCTCTAGCCCTAAGGTTGGCATTCTTTAATACTTAATCACTAGCAAATGTTGTCTTCTTAGTTTTGCCCTTCAATTCATATGGATTTCTCAGAGTTAAGATATTTACAGAACCTTAATTTAGCCCTTAGAAAGCCAGTCAAATGGAAAGTCACTCTGCTTTTGATCATCTTTTTGTCTTGAGGTAGCAAGAGGTATATTTCTGAGCACTCAGAAAGTATCTGTGAAATAGTTCTTCCTGGACTCTTCAAAGCTGTGAGAGCTCACCTTCAGGGCAAGTGGCTTCTAGGTCAGTTGCAGCTCTATTTCTCCAAATCCTGTCTGACGTATGTTCTGTCTTCAGCAGTAGGGTCTTACCTTCGAGTTCTGAGAGGCCATCAAGGGCTGTGGCAATAGCTTGGGTAATTTTGGGAGTCTCTTGGGCCACCCTGGCCAACAACTCAAAGGAAGGTATCTCCTGTCTGTTTCTTGTTATGTAGCCTTTAGCTATATACATGGACTCTTAAAGAAATATTCTGATCACTTTAATCTTTGGGTATACTTTCCTTTTTGGTGTTTAAGACCATACGGTTGGCCCAAATAAACCAATTTATTTTTACTCTTAAGGTATAGGCCTTACTAGAGTTTGATGTGATAGAGCTATCAGACTTTATCCATCCAATAGAGACTGCTAGCCTTCAACTGCCAAACACACTCAAGTGCTGATTTCTATTATTTGGTTAGTTCAAGAAATAGTTTACAAGACTAGTTGTATGCATACACATAAACATATGTGTGGGTGCATACATAGTCATAGGCACAAGTAACAAGAGCTGTTTTATTAAGCCTTTTAAAAAGTTTTTTAGTTTTTACAGGTTTTTTTTCCTTAGCATTTATTTAATGTGGGGCACATGTACACTTGCTGTGGTACACATGTGGAGGTCAAAGGCCAACTTGTGGGAGTTGGTTCTCTCTTTCTACTCCATGGATCTGGGGACTCAAACTCAGGTCGTTAGACTTTACCCGCTGAGGCATTTCACCGGCCCCAGACTTTCACATGTTCTGTTGTTGCCATGTAGAAAGGTCAGATCTTAATCATCTCAATAGAAAAATCTGAATTTTAAAATTAGTGCAGTTTACTTTTTAACAATAATTTTTTTACCCTCTCCCCTTTTAGTTGAATTTTACATATTTTTCTTACTTATTTTGGTGTTTGGGATGGAACTCAGGGCCTCTCATAGGCTATGCAAGTGTTCTACCACTGACCTTCATCCCCAGCAAAATTAGTACCTGTTAGCTGACTACCCTGAAAATCTACACAAAAGTAGAGCAGTCAACTTATAAGCAAATATATAGTTCTGTTTATTGGTGTTGTTATGTGTAGTTTTATAATATTGTTCTTATTTCTCTTAATAGACTCTGGAACTTCTTTACAGAATTACGAATGCACAGAATGTAACAGTTATTGTCCGGAAAATGCTTGAATATTTAAATCAGAGCAAAGAAGAGTATATCATCATCAATTTGGTTGGCAAAATAGCTGAGTTGGCTGAGAAATATCCTTTGTTTCAACACAAATCACATAATGCTTTTATACACTGATTTTAAAATGGCTGGTATAGACATGGTAACTTGTGAACTAACTGAGTTCAGCAACCTAAGCAATTAACTTGAATTCCTGATTTTTTTAAGCCTCTTGTAAAAAATCAGGAATTTGTATAGACTTTTTGGGTTGGCCGTTTTTTCTTCGGGTTTCTTTCATTCAACTGATCAGTATTTTGAGAAAGAAAATACAGGAATTGCTACCTGGTTCTTCATTTCCTTCTTACTTTTAAAATTTATTATTTTTATTTATGTGTATGAGTGTATTCACCCCATGTATGTAATGTAAGTACAGCTGTGTCATGCAATGCCTGAGGATGTCAGAAGAGGGCATCAGATCCCCTGGAACTGGAATTACAGATGGTTGTTAGCCACCATGTGGGTGCTGGAAATCAAACCTGGGTCCTCCGCAAGAGCAGCCAGTTTTCTTAACTGCTGAGCCATTTCTCCAGCCCCAAATAATACACATTTGCGAAATACTTGGTAAGGTTTCTTTTATTTTCATTCTTTTCATGGGCTGGGGATCAGACCCAGGACTTCATGCATGCTAGGCAAGCACTCTACCACTGAGCTACAGCCTAACCTAGCGTTTCCTTCTAAAAAAGAAAACCTTTTGGGTACTAGTGATTAAATCCAGGGTCTTTGACAACCTAAACACACACACACCTCTGAGCGCTAGTACCTGGCTCCTCTTTCAGTCCTTCTTGTCTGTGACTTTTCTCCCTACTTAGTTTATTTTCTGAGTGTTTGTTCTTACTATGGTGTAGGATTGGGTGACTGGAGGGTCAGGGCCCTAAAATACATCCACACCGTGGCATTGTTAGAAATGATCACAGTGAAGTAAAGGGAATTTCATTCACTGTTTCTTTTCCTTTACCTTTCCTGCTTTAAAGTCAGGGAATTGGGTTGCTCGTAAAGATGCCATTTTTTAAAAAGGGTATCTGTTCTTTAATTCTAAACAAGAACAAGTGAATATTAATCCAAATTCTTTGTAACTTGTATAAATACAGCTTTGGCCTGGCAGAATGATCGATGTTAGAAGTGATTAAAAATATTAGAGATCATTTAGCTCTCTGAAATACATATAAAATTTCCATTATTAGCCAGGTGTGGTGGTGCATATCTTTAATTCTAGCACTCAGGAGGCAAAAACAGGCAGATTTCCATGAGATCAAGGATAGCCTGGTCCACATAGTGACTTCCTGGCTAGCTGGAGTTAACAGGGAGAAGAGACCGAGTCTCAACAGAAACGAAACAACAAAGAAAAATTTGCGTTATTTATTGATCCCAAGTTAGCTGGTTCATCTCTTTCAAATATTTTGTATTTATTTATTGGATACCTATTATGTGTAAGCCTAGTGCTAAATAAAGTGTTATAAACCAGTATATCAAATAAACTTACTGAGCATCCATTATACATGAAAGCAGGATATAGGACATTTTATGCTAGAGGTTGAAGATGAAGATGCCACACCAGAATGAATTGTTATTTATTGATGTATTTTTTAAGTTGTTGTGGATGGGGTAATTTCAATAAGCAACATTTGGAAGTGTACTCTTCCTTAACACCATGGACACATATGCTCCTGACAATGTGTGGTTTATTCAGACAATGAATGCTGTGTTCTCAGTGGGAGGGGATGTAATGCACCCTGATATTCTCAATAACTTTCTGAGACTGCTAGCAGAGGGTTGGTAAAGAATTTAAAATTAAATATTCTTTTATTACAGAGTCATTGGGAAGTTTGGTGGAGATTAAACTGGTATTTTAATTTCTTCATAGGTTTTGATGATGAAGCAGAAGATGAACAATTAAGACTTTATGCAGTTCAGTCTTACCTTACTTTACTGGATACAGAAAATGCTTTCTATCCACAGAGATTTCTTCAGATTATGAGCTGGGTAAGATACATTATATAATGATTATTATAACTTTTTTAAAAATAAAATAAAATGTTAGCATATTATGTCCAGAAATCATTCAGCTCTACTCAGGTAATTCCTTCAGTTTTCAGTTTTCTTCCCCATTGTTTACTTTTTATCCCTTAACTATTTATTAATCCTTTCTACCATCTCACATGTCTAGGCTTTTGATAAGAGTGTTTAGATATCTGTTTGTATATACAGTGTGGTTTGTGTGTGTGAGTCGTTTTTTGTGGATGTGAATACTCATATATCTGTGCTATTGCTGCATGTTAGCAGAAAATTAGTGACCTGTAACAACATGAATGCATTACATTATAGTTTCCGTGAGGCAGGAGTCTAAGTATGGCTTAGCTGGGTTCTGTTTAAGGTCTCAAAGAGTTGCAGCCAAGATGTTGACTGTCTCATAAAGCTTGATTGGTTTGTGGTCATTGGCAAGATGTAGATTCTTGCAGTTGAGTTCTTATGATTGGGATTTTAGTTTCATGCTATCAACTATGGCTATCTTTAGCTCCTTGAGTCTTTTTATTTCTTTTTGCAGTATATAAATATTAATGTTTGATTAGATTTTTGCCTATGAGTTTCATTTTTCCTTAGAGCAATTGCAAATGTTTTCTATTTATGTGTTTATTGCTTATATATACAGATATTGGAGATTTTTGTTTTTTAAAAAAATTTTTTACTATGTTTTTATTTTTAAATATTGAGAATTCCATAGTACATATAATGTGTTTTGATCAAGTCCACCCTCCCACTATTCATCCACTATTCTCACTACCACCGTATTTCCCTGTTATCCTCATGTGCTCTTTTTTTTTTTAACCCACTGTGTCCACTTAGTGCCCCTAGTGTGTACATGGGTATAGGACCATCTACTGAGAATGCTGCCTCTTAAGGGCAGCATCCCTGAAGATAACTGACTTTCCCTCTACCAGCAGTCAGCACTTGCCAATAGCTCCTCAGATAAGGGAGGGGCTTTGCTATCCCTACCCCTTCCATGCTATAATTTTGGCTAGCTTGATCTTATGTATGCAGTCCCAGCCACTGTGAGTTCATGTGTGCAACTGTGTTGTCATGTCTGACAAATACTTCTGCTGCACTTGCCTACTCCCTCTGGTTCTTAATCTTTTGCCCCCTCTTCCACAATGATCCCTGAGCCTTGGGAGGAAGAGGTATGATACAGGTGTCCCATTCAGATATAAGCACTCCACAGACTCTTATCTACCTCATGTTGACCAGCTGTGGATCTGTGTGTTAAGCTCTGCCTACTGCAAAAAGGAAGTATCTTTGATGAGGTTTGAGAGATGCACCAGTCTACTGCTATAAAAATAAGAATTTAGGGGGTGGCTTATTGCTATGTCCATTTAGCAGAATAATAGTACTAGATTCTACCCTAGGGCCTAAGACCTACCAGCCACAGGTTCTAGGTTCAGTTAATAGTACCAGGTATGGGTTCCATCTTGTGAAGTAATATTGAACTCCAATCAGAAAGTGAATGGTTACTCCCAAAACATTCATGCCGCTTTTGCACCAGTGGACATATATTGCCAGGCCACTTGCTTTTGTAGCTTGCAGGATACATGGCTAGTAAGACTGTTGATGACTTTTCTTCCTCAGTAGTGTATATAAACCTTCCAGCTCTGTGAAAACTAGTCAATAGGGATGACACCTCCAGGTTAGTGCCAGTTTTTTTGTTTTGTTTTGTTTTGTTTGTCTTTTTCTCAGACAAGGTCTCCTTCTAGCCCCAGCTGGCCAGGAACTCACTTTGTAGACCAAACTGGCCTTGAACTCACAGAGATCTGCCTGCCTCTGCCTCCTGAGTGCTGGGATTAAAGGTGTGTGCCACCACTCCTGGCTAATTTCTCCATGTCTTATCATTCAGGTATGTGGTATTTTCAGCAATAGGGTCTTACTATAAAGTTCTGGAGGGTAGCTAAGAGCAATGACAAGAGCCTGCAGTGTTTGGCAGTCTATGGGACCCCACTGAACAACAACTTGAAAAAGAGGTAGTCCATACCTGGCACTGGGGCTCTTTATTTGATAGCTCCTGGTGTCTGAGAGAAGCATATCCCCCCCCCCCCCCCCACTCCCACCGTTATAGGGTAACTATCTAAACTCTTTTTATATGTGTGCATATTTTAGGGAACTTCTGCAGTAGTATATTTCCATAGGGCTTAAAATATATACATATATAAAATAAAAAGAATTTAATTGGACTTACCCTATAATAAGGAGAGAATGTCCCTACCAGAGACCATAGGCTAGCAAATGAAAAGCCCAAAGCCAGGAATGGACTCTTCTTTTGAAGCTGTTGACCAGGGGTCCCACAAACCCTCAAATAATACTGGCTTTTGCCCTTATTCTAAATTACCCACCAGAACTTGATGTAAGAGCCTATTGTTCAAGACACTACATATACACGAGCTGTAGTGGTAGGTATCTGTATGATTTTTTTTTTCAAAAGTCTTTTAGTGTTACTTATCCTCTCCTTACTCCCTCCTCTTCCTCGCTCTCCCATTCCCCACCCCATTTAACCCTTCCTACTCCATTATTCCCCTGTCTCCTCCATTCTGTCTCCCCTCCTGTGAACTCTCCTTCCCGTGGCCCTTTACTAGTTTCCTGACTTATATGAATTTTCCTATTGAAAACACTATCTACAGAGTCAATGCTAGCATCTGCTTATGAGAGAGAACATGTGACATTTGTCTTTTGGGGTTTGGGTTACCTCACTTAGGATGTTGTTTCCAGTTTCATCTAGTTACCTGAAAATTGCATAACTTCATTTGTCTTTCTTGGCCTTTTTGAGACAGGGTCTCCCTGTAGCTCCAGCTGGAGCTCACTATGTAGACCAGGCTGGCCTTGAACTCACAGAGATCTGCCTGCCTCTGCATCCCAAGTGCTGGGACTAAAGGCGTGCATTACCATGCCCCACTATAACTTTGTTTTTCTTAACCATTGAAGAATATTCCATTGTGTAATTGTACTATACGTTCATTGTTCATTTATCAGTTGATGAACTTCTAGGTTGTTTCCATTTCCTGGCTATTGTGAATAGAGCAGCAATGAACATGATGGATAGGTATCTCTGTGATGTAGAGTCATTTGGGTATGTGCCCAAGAGTGGTATGGCTGGATCATGTGGTAAATATATTTCTAGCTTTTTGAGGAATCTCCACACTGATTTCCATAGTAGCTGCACCATTTTGCATTCCCATCAGCAGTGAATACATGCTCTCCTTTCCTCATATCCTTGTCAGAATTTATTATATTATTATTTTTTAATCTTAGCAAACTACATTTAAACTCTTTTTATATATGTATGCATTTTAAGGACTGTCTACAGTAATAGCTTTCCATATGACTTCTTTGTTTTGTTTTATTTGGGGGGAGTATTTTTTGAGACAAGTTTTCACTGGGTAGCACTGGCTGGCTTGGAACTTGTTATGCAAGGTTTGAACTCACAGATATCTGCCTGCCTCTATCTCTTTTGAGTGCTGGGATTAACTGTATGCACCACCATGCCCAACCTATGTGGCCTTTTCAAAGGTCTTTAGTGTTATCTCTCTTCATACTTCCTTCTTTACCCTGCCCCCCGCCCCACTTAACTCTTCCTGATCCATTATTCCTCCTTCCCCTTTCCCCCTTCATACTACTTGTGTTCTAGTTCCCTTCCTTCAAAATTCCTCACCTTACTCTTTTCTTGACTTCTATGGATACTCTAGTTTAAAAACATATACTAGAGATTCAAAGCTAGCTTTCACATATGAGGGAGAGCATGTGGCATTTGTCTTTCTGGATCTGAGGTACCTCAGGAAGGATGCTTATTTCTAGCTCCATCCATTTACCTGCAAATTTCATAATTTCCTTGACTTTATAGGTGAATAAAATTCTATTATATATATGAACCACTCTTTCTTTATCCATTTATCAGTTTATGGATACCTAGGATGTTTCCATTTCCTGGGTGTTGTGAATAGAGCAATGAACATGGGTGAGCAGATGTCTCTGTAGTAGGAGATAGAGTGCTTTGGGACTACGCCCTGGAGTGATGTGGCTGGATCATATGATAGATTTATTTCTTGCATTTACTTCCATAATGGCTGCACCAGTTTGTACCAACAGGGAATAAGTGTTCCTATTTCCCCATATCCACATTAGCATTTGCTATTTTTTTTTTTTTAATTTTAGTCATTCCGAGTGGGATAAGATGAAATGTCAAAGTAGTTTTAATTCCCATTTCCTTGATGGCTAAAGATGTTGAATACATTAAAAAATAAGTCTCAGCCATTTGTATTTCTTCTTTTGAAAGCTCTCTGTTTAGTTCCATGCCCTAAATTTTAATTTTTTTTCTTGGTATTTAGCTTTTCTCAATCTTTATATATTCTAGACACTGACTCTCTGTCAGATGTATAACTGTTAAAAAAAATTTTCCCATTCTGTAGGCTGATGGTATCCTTTGCTGTCCAGAAGCCTTTTAGTTTCATGAATTTTTTATTTTTTATTTTTTTAATTTTATGTGTATGAGTGTATTGCCTGCATGTATGTGAGTGCACCCATGTCATGCAATGCCCTGGAGGTCAGAAGAGGGCTTCAGATTCCCCTGGTACTGGAGTTAAGGACGGTGTGTAGCCACCTTGTGGGTGCTGGGAATTGAACCCAGGTACTCTGTAAGAGCAGTCAGTGCTCCTAACTGCTGAACCATCTCTCCATCCCCATGAATTTATTTTTTACATTTTATTTATTTGTGTGTGTGTGCGCATGCGTGCACACACGGAGACCAGAGGACATTTTCAGGAATTGGTTCTCTCCTTCTACTATGTGGACCCCAGACATGGAACTCAGTTTGTCAGGCTTGGTGGCAGACCTGAACCTATACCTGCTGAGCCATCTGGCCAGCCCTTATATTTTGATTTTGTACTCTGCAATTTTGTTAAAGTCAGTAGTTCTAAGTTTTTCTTTATTGGTGGGGGAGTGGGATA